GTGAGTGGATCAATTTGTGCAAATTTTAAATATTTGCAGGCGGAATTGATTGATTCAATTGGTCGAAACGTTGTGATTACACCTGCTCATGTCTGGCAAAGTTGCTGTTCGGTTGTTTGTTCAGTGGGTTTTTTCCGGTGTTTGCCCAGCCGGTTTGCGTGGCAAAAATCTCGCTTTGAAAACTTCCCAAATGATTGCAAATATTGTTGACACAGAACATGTTGTTTGACTAAGAATTCGCGCTGATACAATGGCTATTTTCGGGCATCAAGAGGCCCAAAAAGCAAATGTTGCAGCCAAAGACCTCTTTGGCACAGTTAGATGATTTCGTCGGGCAAAACCGGCGATAAATCGCATCTGGGCCTGATAGGAAGCAAATGGGCAAAATTACATGAGAAGACACGCAACATAAATCAGGTCAAAGCAACAGAATGCGGCCCGCGGGCCATTCAGAGTGTTATGCAAATAAATTTTGAAAGAACCACGAAGAAGATCCGCATACCATTTCGATAACAGTGCGGGGCTTGCAGAAGCCCAAATGTTGTGGCGCCTTCAGCCGATTGCCACATACGAATCTCATTACGACGACTCCTTTGTGGCTTTTGCGGCCGTTTTGTTGCGACTCAGTTTGCAGGATTTTGCGCTAAAGAACGACACCGAAAATACCGGAGAAATGAGCAAACATCAGGAAGCACAGGGTTTGAAGCAATTGCATAATTTGTTGCTTTTTAGCCGTGCTGATCCTCTCTAATCGATCAGTTTTTATTATTGAGTGTCGGGCCACGCCTGATTAACCGGCCAATCAGGTTGCACTGTTTTGACCATCAAGTTGTATGGGCCGCACCAACGTTTTTCTACATCGAGTCAAATGAAAAATTCGCAGGAGATGATGAAGAAAGGTTGTTTCAATCCGCAATCAACTTTCGCCCATTCGATCGTGATCCTAATTAAGATTAGACCCGAAATCTGCACAGTATCACAATGGGCAATCACACTTTATGTAGATGTGGGTTTCCTTTCGAAATGCACTTTCTTTAATGCGCCACTTGACTCACTTCTGGTCAATGCGCGTCGCCTTTGCATCAATAGGGTGTTTTCACTAAAATTCAAATTATTCATGAATCTTTAAGACGCAATTTTATTGGTTGTGACGTCTCTGGTCATATAAATGGCGGATTGTTAACGTTCTGGGCATAGTGTTTAGTTGTGTAGTTGTGATTCATTAATTATTTTGCGCATTTAAACAATTTATAGTTTATGTTAAACTAAAAAATCGCTTCAAAAGGGTTCATTAAAGCGTCAACAAACAATTTATCATGCGTACATATTTTTATGGTTACCGAATTTTGCAAAAACGATGAACGCTTTAATTCAGCCGAATTTAAGGGTGTCAAAGCAGCAGCGTAAGTAAAATTCATTATTAGTTACTCTCTCCTTAATATACTAATCTGTCAGTATTGGTTTAAATTAGGTAAATAATTTATTGAATTTCACTTATTCAACTTAACCTAACCTATACACATGGCTGCATTGAGCCCAAAAAACACGCATGTGAAAT